TTGCTTGCCAGAGGAAGTTCTTGACGGTTCATATGAGCAGCACCTTTGCTCGTTTTCAGCTTGATACGGGCTCTACCATCACGCTACTCAGTGAACAAACGTGGAAACGGAGTTGTAAGCCACACGTGATGCCGATCAAACACTGGATCTCTAATGTTTTGGTAAACTGGCAATAATGTGCGAGGTTAACTGATCTATAAGCTTCAATGGCTCGACGGAACAAGCCAAATGAAAACACGTCATACCCCATACTTGATCTCATGTGGCCGGAAAATCCTGTTTACTCTGTTTCACCCTCGCACAAACAGCACCCGGAAGTGCCACTGAACAAACGCACATTCCGAAGCGTTCATTGGGGATCTCCTACAGCGGTGTGCGTTTATATGCGCCGACGGGTTTGGACGGTGCACAAAAAATGATAGCCAGACTGTGATTTCTCCCCAATGCCAAACAACCTTTCAGGACAACCCCATAGTACTGCATCGCCCACCGTTGACCGGGGACTGAACCGACGACAGACCAAATACTCGACATGGCCGCACCAAGGCGATTGATGAAGAAGAGTAACGGGACTATCCGCTTGAGTACCGGCTTCTCCACTGGTTTCAGTGCTGCGCTGGACATTCACCAGGGCCCACAGACTCTTCCAACCGACTTGTTCGCAAACCTGAATGGGAGTACATGCCTTGCGAAGATTGACTTATCTCAAGGTTGTAGTTGAATGGAAATCTCGGGGACGCTTGTCCGTCAATACGCATCGCGTTCTGTTCTAGTGCAGCCGGCTGCCACTCGGTATCAGGACAGCACCAGCCATATTTCAACAGATAATGAACACTATGCCGAAGGATGGGCGCGGCGTTGCTTATTATTTGGACGAACCGATCGTCGTGGTTTTCAACCACGGCTAAATGTGGCAGCGCCTGTTTTATTCAGGATTATCGCTTCAGAGTGGGCCGTGAAAAAACAACTTCATACGGACGATAAAGTACGTCGAGTTCATGATTCATCAGGATGGCTACCGACCAGATCTGAAGAATTTCGATACAATCAAATGTATGCCAGAACCCCCAGACGTGACATCCCTTTGGTCCTTTCTCGGTCTTATAAGTCACCACAGTTCGTTTCTGCCTGTTATACATCGCCTTCGAAGTCCGCTGAAGCAGCTACACACCGGGGACCACAAGTGAACATGGTCACAAGGATGCCAACGCGCCTTTAACTCTGTCGAATCAGTTCTGAGTTCCGACTCGCTACTCACCCACTACGATCCATTGCTTGGCATCGTTGTGGCGTCGGATGGAATTGGCGCAGGGATTTCACGTTTTTTCGACAGCAGCTTGAAGGCTACTGCACACGCGGCCAGATCTCTGCAACCAGTCAAGCGCGACTACAGCCGAATAGACAGGAAAGCCGCGGTGATCGCGTTTTCCTCAAAAAGTTTCATAAAAATTTCTACGACCATCGGTTCACCATAATGACCCAGTACAAGCAACGTCTTCCTGTGTTTGGCCCGAAGAAATGAATCCCGGCATATACTGCCAACCGTCTCCTCCAGTGGGCCACAGTACGTTTGGGATGATTTCAAGATCAAGTACCAGCCAACCAGTAGCCTCGAGCAGGCAAATGCACTGTCACGACTCATCGGTTCACGTAGGCCAAAACCAGAAGATGCCGTAGTCGCAACTGTTGCCCTGGAACCAGAGGCTAACCAAGTAATATTAGAAGCGGTTCGCACCCCCAGTGACTGTCGACGTGGTCTGTCAGGCTACCGACCAGGACCCGTTGCTGCAGCAAGTCATTAAGTACCACCGTAATCAGTGACCGCGTACCTGCCCAAAAGACAAACGGGGACTTATTTCAACCGGCTTGAAACACGATCACTAACCGACGAATGCCTTTTGTATTCAGAACGTGTTGTCATCCCAAATAAATTACAACCAGCCGTCCTGAATCATTTTCATAAAGGGAACTCGAAAACAAAAAGAATGAATGCCTTTACTCGGAGTTACGTCTACTGGACGTTGATGGACTTCCTGATCGAGCACGACTCAAAATCATGCCCGCGGTCTGCTAAAGCACCAAATCATCCGGGAAAAACTACCTACGTTCGTGGCCGCAGCCGGCCGAACCCTGAAATCGTCTATATATCAAATATACAGGTCCAGTATGTAACTAACACTTTTTTCGTCGTGGTCGATGCACACGGCTAATCGCCAGAAGTTCTCCCAGTGAACAGCCCCACAATTGGAGCTCCGAAGATTGTTGGGTCGATTTGGGACACCACAGACTATTGTGTCAAACAACGGCAGTCAGTGCACATCGTTGGTGTTCGCAAACTTTTGTCGGGAGTATAGCATAACACATATCCGTCCGCCGCCGTTTCATCCACAGTCGAACGGCCAAGCGGAACTCGTCCTCGACACTGAAGCGGAGAGGAGGGACACACGGAAGATTTTGGAAAGGTCCCTGCTGACAATTCAAGCAACGCCGGGCCACAACTCGCCTGCTGGAGGGTCACCAGCAGAAGTACCTCTCCGAATGAAACTTCGAGGATGCTCAGCCTGAACACGGATTACAGCCTCGATGTTGGACAGACGGTTCACCAGTCATGAGGCCCCTGCAAGTGAACCCCAGGCATCGAAGCTACATCAACGAAATTCAAGGACGAGGTATTAGGTGGAATTCCACATGGATCCCGCTTTACCTCTCGCAGTCAGTTGCTGCTGCTGCCGAGAAGCATATCCCAAGCTAAACTGGCCGAAAATTCGAGACGCTTGCCGGTCCGGCATCAAGGCGAGATCTGATTGGTCGAAAGTCTGGAAGCAACAGCTAATCACGACCAAGTGTTGGCCGAATGCCGGTTGCCACCTGCGCATCCAGAACGCGTCAGGATTTCCAGGCTATTGCCGGTTGCGCTACGTATATGAAGCGCTGTACGACTGTTCCTGACTCCGATCTGGATGTTAATATAACTTGTGCACCGTTGTTGGTTGTTTTGACATGGACGCTATCTTGGGAGACTCAGACCGACAACTAAGCTGAGAAAAATACCATCACTGTAGCGGGTGAGCGAGAACAGGCTACCTCTGAAGCCTCCCTTCTTCCTCTTTCACATACTTCCCCCCCTACTTCTATCCCATTAATAACTCTCTCCTTGTAGGCCCAGCACTTAGGACTGATGACTCTGTTCATCATGCGTCGATGCATGATCGGTTTCGCGTGCAGCATCTGCTTGTCACATAGCGCTGACTTCCCCAGGTATCTCCAAGTCAATCTTCAATCCGGATACCCAGTCTCTCTGGCCGCCTTCAATGTCCACAGTCTGAAGCAAGCAGAACAACAAGCTGCTCTTGCACTCACACTGGACTCGCTTGGCATTGATGTGTGCTGTGCCTCAGAAACGAGAATTCGAGATGCAAGCACAGTGATTGAGTTAACTCCCCGTCAGTCTCCACTCGCTTCCGGTGATCCAGAGGCTGCTGCGGTGGGATGTGCAGGAGTTGGTATCGTCCTAAGTCACCGGGCGGAAGTATCCTTGTTTGACTTGATACTTGTTGATGGTCCCCTCTGTGCGGTTCGTCTAGCAACATCTGTGAGTCCCACGTGAGTCTCACAAGCGGAAGTTGATAGGTGCCTGTTTATTATGTCTGCCTACGCCCCAATTGACTGCAACTCTGACGCCGTCAAAGGCAAGTTTTACGACGCCCTAAATGCCCTTTTGGGGCGAGCTAAAAGCTCAGACATCGTGGTGGTTGCCGGAGATATGAACGCACAGGTGGGCCGGCTTAGCGTATTTGAGACTCAGGTAGGAGGTCGACATGGATTGGACCCGGTACATACGAACAATGGTGAACGATTGCTTCAGCCGTGTGCCGACCGCAGGTTGTTTTTATGTGGTGCTAACTTCCGAAATAGCCGACGTCGTCTGGCCACATGGTATCTTCCAACGGCGTACCGGCCACAAACTCAAATTGACCACATTGACATCAGTTACCGATGGCGCAGGTCAATAACGGACTGCCGGTCGTTTTGGAGCACATGTAGATTCTGACCACGCACTCGTCCGGAGTCGCTTCCCTCTACGTTTTCAAGGCCCGCGTAAGCTGCGGACAAATCTCTTGGCAACTGAAATACTGACAGATCCTGATATTAGACGAACTTACCAAAATCGTCTTTCAGAGTCTCTTCCAAATGCTCCACCATCAGATGCGAAATCACACACTGGGACGATATTGCCGTCCGTTTGCAAGGTGCTTGAAATTCCGCCTGTAGCACGTAACCAACAGACCCACTCAAACACTATTCAAATCTCGGAGATAGTAGTGTTGAACACTGACGCTTCACTGCCGTACAACCATGTTTCAGTTGAAATACGTATTGTAAAGAAAAGATTAAAGGACAGGGAAGGGATTCAGTACCAGCTTACTACGATCATTCCGAAGTGCCTACACATCCAGACATTCACTCAGGCAATCTGGATAGAAACTGACGACAACGCCACTGACATCAGTTGGCAGCCTTAGCTGGCAGCATCTCTAACTAGGCGCAGTGGAGATTACGCGGTCCCCATCCCGGATGGCGAGGAGAACCGACAGCACCCAAGCATTTCGTAGTCTCCTTCATACTCCTCTGCCAAGTCAAGGGTTGGCCACCTCTCTAATTCCACCACTCTGAAGTGGACACGGAAAACAGCACTCTCTTCGGCAAACGACGTTTCAGTATACGCAATACGTGACCTAACCAACTCAGTTTCTGGTGCTGGACGCATTCTTCAATGAGTGCCCGTAGCACAACCGAAAACTCGCTTCTAATTGCCTCACCACGGATACGCCGACAATAAACCACACGAGCTATGGTTATGAGACAACGATTGTCAAACACCTGAATGCATCTCAGCTCCGCTGCTCGAACAGGCCGAGTCTCACACTCATACAAAACAGACCGCAGTGTAGCCTGATACACATGTTGCTTGAGATTTGAGGATACACTACTCTGACGGCATGTCTCAAATTAGCAAACGCGACCCGGGCCTTGCAGATTCGTGCATTGACCTCATCTGCCACACTACAATCAAAACTAATACAACTTCCATGGTATGTAGAACGCCCCACAACTTCCAGTGTTTCTCCCTGGATCGTAAGTGGCATGTTCCGTGACTGCATGTCCAGGAGCATGACCTTACATTTTGTGGGTGCAAAGTCCATACCAAAGGACGTGATGACTTTGGTTAGTTCATCCAAAAACACTTGCACCTTCTCCTCCTCTTCGAAGATAAGAACGATGTCGTCTGCATAATCCAGACGACAAGGTTTTCGTCACAGGCCATTTGAAAACCAGGGTTTTGGAGACCCTCCAGCGTTCGTCTCATTATTTCACCGATCACGGAGTTAAAAAAGAATGGAGAGTGGGCATCCCTGACAGACACCGCTTTGTGTACGGAAGCTTTTGGATAGCTCTACGTACACTCTCACGCGTCCGGAAGTCTGAGAATACAAAAAACGTATTATGTTTACAAACTTCCAGGGTATTCCTTGGTAGGCAAGCGGGCCAAGGAGAACAGACCGGTCAACCAAGTCGAATGCGCCTTGGAAATTAATAATTACTAAAACTGTGGGTCGTTGGTACGTATGGCGCTTTTTAGTACCTGACAGTGTGAAGATTTGGTCGACGCAACCTCTTCCAGACCGGAACCCTGCTTGCTTTCTCGAGTCAGAGATATATGAGCCACCATAAGGCGACGAAGCACAAGTGATGCCAGCAGTCTAGTTACGACTGGGGTTAAGCTCATCACACTGTGGTTGCTATGACAACCTGGCAGTGTCCTAGCCCTCGTGCAACCTTAGGGTGGCATGGCAGTTAGGCACCGAAAGGGTGTTACAGCTCATCACACTGTGGTTGCTACACTAACTGCGAGTCCTGCTTTTGAAAATGAGCACTATAACCGACTAAGTCAGTTGTCTGGAGCAGTTCCGTTTTCCCAAATGCAAGCGAGCATATTAGACGGGTGCTGATTGGGGATTTCACTCCTCTTCTTTGAATAGGGTGGGTGGAAGGTCATCAGGACCAGAGGTCCGGTGGTGCTGGATAGAGTAGATGCAATCATACACCTCCGAGGACGTATGGAGCAGGTGATGAAGAGTAGATGCAATCATACACCTCCGAGGACGTATGGAGCTTCCAGGTGATGATGATGCTCTATCTGGACGCAGTGGACCGTCTCAACCATCCTGGATGAGTCTGATAGTGGTCACTCAAAAATTGTACGAACTGCATGTGTGGGAATCACGGAGCAATTAGCTTGACTCCAGTTGTAACCAGACTGTGTCGCTTATTCTACGTCGTTTTACGAAAGCACATGAACAGGGAATCCTAGAACAAGAGCCAGGTTTGCGATCGAAGGATCCCACATTTCCACCTCCTGTCAACTCTTAGAGCTCGGCAAGTATATAAAAGCTATGTCTTCGTGGTATTCTTTGATTTCAAGAACGCATTCATGAATATCATGTTTGTATCCACACACTTCCTCGAAGGGCTGTTTTCACACAACCACGTGAAGGGTGGAAGAGAGCCAGAGGCGGTCAAACAATGACTTGGCAGCGAAGTATTTAAGCCATTGCCAGCAGACTCAGCTGCGTTGGTCACTGTCGTCTTCCTGGATGGGGATACCGAGACTGGCCACATCAATGGCTACAGACATTGTCAGATATGGCCCAGCTGCGCCCTCAATGGCGCTCGTGCATCCAAGCTATTGCCTTCAATGCATAGCTCCTTTTCCAACCCCCCACTTGACAGCCCACTGACAGTGTTGGATTCATTCACCAATTTATCAGCTCTCGCTTGCAATGCGCCGCTACCTCCCCCTCCCCCCAAATCATCGATGAACGAGACTGCGGCAGCTACAACCAACGACGAGTACGTGGTTATTACAGCTGACAATGATGATTCACACACATGTGGGTGTGTTAGCGTATGAGAGGCTCTCCAAATGACCCCCTACAAGAAATGTCCGATATTGGTGTTAACTTTCCGTTTGTGTTTACTTTCTGTATTGACGAGGTAATGAGGCAAACTCTGAAAGTCCTCCGAATGCCGACTTTCAGATATCTTCGAGTGGGAGTCTTGTTGATCTGGAATATGCAGAGGAAGTTGTTTTCATGTTGTGAACAGCAGGATGCTCATGTATTACTGAAAAAGCTGACAAGGGCCTCTGGTTCTTTGGCATATGCTTCTCACCTGATGGGGTGTGAGGACGTGGTCGATGCAGCGTTTTCTCGGTTGAAAACCAGCTTCACACCCACGGGTCAAGGTTTCAAAGCCAAGATTGACGTTATCGCCGAGATAGTCGGAGTAAGAAAGTTCGACATCGTCAGATCAAATGTCGAATGTCTTCAGACTGCAGTTTATATCACCGGGACCGGCGTCAAATTGATATCTGTGAGAGCACTCCTGCCGATCGCCGTGTTTGGATGGTTTCGATGCGAATTATACGAGAATCACGGTCACCCTCACACATATAATTGAAGTAGAGTAGAAAAAGGTCTTCGATCTCTTACATGTGAGAAGAGAATGTCCCTATCAAGTGACTTCGTGGTCAGTCACACTCATAACTCATTCAGCTACGAAGTGTGTCTCAGGATATACTGGTTCCAGCTACCACCTTCATTGCGGATAAGGAAACTAAGCGAATGAAATCTACGTCTGGGGATTGATGTTATGATCAGTTCATTCATATTTTATTGTTATGATTATCTAATAAAGGTGGAGTGAGAAAGCTGCGCACTGAGCGCAAACCTGGACGCAGGTCCACCATTCACATCGTTACAATGTCATATCTATCTGGGTTAATAATTTGTTTGTCTTTGTTTCACGATGCCCATCCTGGGATACGGCGGATTCCAATGCGGCTGAGTTGACTGAGTTGAACTTTTATGCTTCCTCATCATAATCGACAGCACATCACTGTTCAGCACTGATGCTTTGCTAGCAAGTTTTGCGTTGCCTGTTCGTTTATCCTTTCCACCTGGCACATCGCTTGTTGAAAAGAGGTCTGCAAGACTCAGTCCTCTGGCATACGAAGTAACCTATGAAGTGTAACCAGTTGGTTATTCGAGGGAACTCAAGACTTTTCCTGTGCTCCTTGTGTGATGATTCGAAGGCTTCCACGTTTAAACTCTGCGCGGAACGCCTGCGGCTGATCCGAAAGTTAAGATAGATCGCGCCTCAATCTTGTAAATTCAATCGTGGACCAAAAAACTGATGTCACTTCGGCGACAAAAATGCCGGAGTCCGGAAACACTGCTCACGGCGCGCTGATCCGGAAAGTGATTTTGACTCGTCAGTTTACCGGAACCAATACAAGCGAGATAGTTCAGCGGCCAATGCAAGCATTTACTAACCAGGAAGTTCGTGGTTTGGACCCAACCTCTGCTTCTGAACTGCTCTTATCTAGGTATGGGCAACCTGTTGTGTCCCATCCTTCGTACTTTCTTGTGTGGCGGTGAAGCTACGCATTGATAGGTTGTTACAGTTCAATGCTTTTTATACTACCGACCAGGCAGATTAATTCATCAGTCATACCCCTCAGTTCATCCACAGGTATGGGGTCCGTTTCAATACCACCCGTTCCTGATTTGGTACCTTTCATTTGGCGGGCGTCAAGTGCGTGCTGAACCGTGCTGCAAAATTATTCAAGCTACTCAAAATAGCCTGCGTTTCTAAGATGAACGGTGTAATCAGCGTACTCAGGGAACGGAAGCCAGTTAGCATTCTTGTCCTCGGGCTATTAGAGACTGGTAAGGAAGATTCACGCGACACGTTATTTACGAAGTTGAATTTAGGATATAGGACAGCAATGTCTGACACCAGTGAATGTAGTAAATCCGAGCAAAGGTTTTACGTAGACCAGCACGTGTCTGTAGGATTAGGCACGCAGCCTTCATAAGAGACAAAAATTCAGGGGGACGCTTTTCTTCGCCCTTCTAACGGTTGCAGGAATAAAAAAACAACTTCCAAACAACGGTCGTTTATTTGTGAAAGCCATGCCGCAGTCCGGGCAGAGGGCAAAATTTTGGTGTGATCGATGCAGTCTTTACCAGATCAAAACCCATCTTGGTTCTCACAAATCACACTTTCGGCAATGGGATTTGCCTTTGGAAGCTCTCTATATCAGCCGGATTCGGTGGCGGATTTCGCACATCTATCTTGCTGATTCTTTCTGAATATTGGATTCCAGTCGAAGTGCACCATTTTGTCGGCATTTTGTCTTCATTTCAGATATTTTCGGGTACGGTCATCACGCTCGCCACAAAGGACCCACCACTTTTGTTGAGCGCCGGATACATATACTCTGACCATATGTTTTATCGCACCTAAGCGGGATTTGTTAAAGAATAGCTGATGTTGTGCTGCTTTCGGGTTCATGTGGCTCTTCCAGAGGTTTTTATTTTCGGGGGAGGGGAGGGGAGGGGAGGGTAGGTGAACTGTTCATTCGAATGAATGAAATCGTTCAGCTGTAGCACCCTTTCGGTGCGCAACTGCCACGCCACTGGAAAGAAGCACGGGGGTTAGGATACTGCCAGGTGCCCAAGCCTAGACAAGGAAAGTCAAGAGGCAGTGGTCGGGTTCGGACCATAGACCTTCTGGTCAATAAATTCGCGCGCTTATCACTGAACCACCTCGCCCCAACTACTAAGCCATCTTGTCCCTGGAATGAATTGTGATTCCATTCTTTTTGTAGGAAATTTTGCCAACACCTGCCCTCAGGCCATTTGGTCGGATTATTTTGAGTATGGCATGGTCAACTTCCTGTTCCGGGCTTGAAACAGCTTAGCAGTTAAGACGTAAAAGTACTGGCCAACCCTGGCCTTCCGATTTCTCCTGTCTAGAGTTAGGCAGTATCTTAGCCACCCGTGCCTCCAAGTTGCACGGCACTTAGACACCGAAACCGTTCTGAGTCGCACTGTTCTTCTCATTATTATTAATTTATCATTGCTATTTGTTTCCTGCCACAAACACTTATTCAATCTCCCGAGCCTTTACTGCCCGCCCATTGTCGCTTTGTCCATCTTTAGGCTCTTTACTGCTCCGCGTTTGAGGGTTTGCTTACACCACCCTAGTGTGATTTTTCTGGTGTCGTTGAGAGCTACTTAGTATGACAGTATCTTTTGACCGTTTGCGTTCAGACAACCCCAGATAGATGGTTTTACGCACTTGGTCTAAAACACACACTGGTGGGTTGGCAGAATAACTAAAACCGTTTAAGAGATTTTTTAATGCTGTTTCTCGTTGAGTGATTTTATTGCGTCCGTTGTCATGCCTGGTCACTGTTCACTATCTTCATCATGTGAACTTAATGGCGTTTGTGGAAACTAGTTTCTGGTCTGTTTTTCTGTATTATTGATCGAACGCGTTCCGTCCCTCAGGTTTAATTTGGAAATGGCGAATGCAGAGATACTCACCCTGACGGATATGTTGCTTGATGGATACAGGTTAGATGGACGCTCACTCCATGAGTACCGTGAGATTAGTTTCCGCTTTCCACGGTCCGCCGAGGATGATCACAATAGTTGTTGCATCGTCAACATTGGCGCCACTTCGGTCGTAGCTCGCGTTTCTGCTGAGGTTTTAGAACCGAAACCTTCTCGACCGTCACAGGGAATGCTGTTCGTCAACTTTGATGCTACCCTGATTCATCCAAGTAAGTACGATTAGTGGCCCTCCACCAGTGAAAGCTTGCTAGTATTATCCGGTTTAGCTTTCCCTTGATTTGAACAAGCATATCGTACGCTCGAACGCCAAGTAAACGGACACGTCCAACGAAAGTCCCAGTGTGTTGAATTCATTTTTCTTTGGAATACAGAGGACCCGGTGCTCGTTGCTATTTTTTCCAACCATTCTCAAAAGCCCCTCTGACTAACCTAATTGAATGCATTGTTAGTAGTACTATCAACATTGCTCCTGTGCAGCCACGAATATTAGGACCGTTGATCATAGCATTCACTATTAGCTGCAGTGGCACAGGCTGTGTTCGATGCATGGATCAACACACAGTGGTGATAAAAGTGGTTGACATCCAGCTCCCACACATGTTCCTGTATTCGTGTCGGATCAACCTTCCCACCGTTGTTCGTAAAGAAGAATACCGTTGTCTTTTTATAGGCTAACCGAAACCGTAGATATAGGTGCAGATATCCACTGATTGAGTTCTCCCATATAAACCCGTCCTACCATAAGGACTTATTTGATGTGAGGGCGATACGGCTCAGCGGTTAGAGCGCATACTTACTGATTGGAAGGTCCATGGTTCGAACCCGATCAGTGCTACTCCATTTCTCTTGTCTAGGCTTGAGCAAATCGGCATTATCTCAGCCCTCGTGCTTCCTTCAGGTGGCATGGCAGCTAGGAACCCAAGGGGTTTTACAGCTGAACAATTTCTCTACGTATTTGATGTTTCCTGGAGCTTCGTTTCGATGGAATAGATGGGAGACGTCTTTTTATAGCCCGCTTTTTGGCAAAGAACGTCAAATCATGAGGTGAACACTCTAGTAATAATTTAAGCACGTGAATCATCAGATACACAATCGGTTCTGATTGGTAGTTCATGTACACAACGCATGGTTACCCGTTCGGTGTGTGTTTTATAGAGCTGCGTTTATGGAGTGGTTACACCATCTTAGCTCCTGCTTCTTGCACCCAGCTAGCGCCCATGCTCGGATGACTTGATGGATCATAGTGCCACTTCTACCATTTATGTTGTACGTCATTACCCGGATGTATTTTGTTGCGACTTACCTAGCGAATGACTTTCTCATCATTGACAGCATAACACCAGTGTTCAACACTGACGCTTTGCTATCGTACGCGCATAATTTGTTTGAAAACCTTATTGTGAAGAGAAGAATAAAGGCGGATGGCAAAGGATTTAGTGCCAACCTACTCAGTGCCTACTCACTCAGACATTCTGGATAGAGACTGACAACGAAAACGCCGTTGTTATCTGTTAGTAGCCATATCTCACATCTTTTCTGACCGTTCGCAGGGGGATCACGCAGACCCCATCCTGGAATACGAGTTGCACCGGCAGTGTCCAGACTTTTCATGATATCTTCTATATTTCTCTGCCAGGCCAAAGATTGACCGTCTCTCTACTTGTATTACTTTAAACTAGGGATGGAAAACAGCTGTTTTCGGCAAATGATGATTTGGTATGCGTAACGCATGGCCTAATCAGCTTCTGCTGCTGGTGTACGTGATCTGTTCTAAGGTTTCAACAACAGAGCGGTCCATATTTCTGTTTGTGGCAAATACTGAGGCGTCCATTTATATCATTGTCACCTTTTCAGAACTGTATTACCACCAACTTCGCGCATACAGTCAGAACTGCATTGGATTTGATGACTTAAGCTCGGTACAACAGGCATTTGGGTGTTCTCTGATTGGAAGTTTCCGTCAACCTTGTCCACTGCAAGACAAATTTTGCGCGATTCGAGAGCTGCGATATGGTTTTAATGGCAGAATCAAATGAATCCCACTCGATCTCTCGTTTGTGATATTCTTCAGCTGGCGTTCGAGATATCTCACTAAGAGTCGGCTGTATGGGGGTATGCTCAGGCCGATCGTTCACGGAGTGAGGAGCAAACGTTCCACTATTGATGCTACTGCGCGTATCAGATGCGTTTGGAGGCAATTCGGGCTCTATAGTTGTATTTCAACCGGATCGGATAATTCTTCGGTGGCCGTTGTCACCGTTGGGTGATTGGGATGTGCGGGTTTTAGGGCCGACATTCTCTATACAGCATGGTTGCTTCCACAAAAATGGACATGTTAGTTATTTGGATGTGGCACACTCCTTTAGCGCTCCTGTCTCCGAATGCAGTGTCACTTCCCCTAAGGCCACCTTATGATACGGTAGTCCCCTACACTTTGACTCAATTAGTCAACCAATTTATCAGTTAAAACGTGTACCATAGACACGATGCTTCCAGTTGCACCTGTTTTGATCACCGGAAAGTGCAAGAGTGCTTGAGACGCCAAGACTGGCAGGCGATGACATGTTTAGTTCGGGTAGCTACGCATTGCAGGCGATAGCGTTGATGCTTGAGCGCCGCTGGATGCGCGGTCGGACCATTTTTACTAGTGTCATTAAGCATCTGTGATTTAAGTCGCGTATTCCCCATCCAGGGAGGCGGCAGTTGCACCCCCACTCAGTTTACTAGTTAGTGTTTTCATACTTAGTTACCTGGTCATACACTGTCCACCTTCGGTCGCTTCCACTCAGTACAGGACTGGGCGAAAAGAGCTCTGTGAGGCAGACGGTCTTCTGGTATGCAGAGTGCATGTCCCAACCAACATAACCCATGAAGGTGAATGACTCATCCATCATGGGAGAGTTCCTTCTCTTTAGGACCATCTGGTGTACCTCAGCATTACTAGCCGATGCTCCCTTCAGACATGACCAATGCTTTGGGGACACCGGTGGTCAATTACTGACATCTCTCGTATGTCCTCTGCGCGTAGAAGCCACTTCCCTAATTCACAAAACGGTATGGATCACAGCAACACAATGTAAACTCTACCCTTGGTAGACAAACTGGCGTTATGTGGGCGACATAAGTGTCGGAGGTACGGGTTTGATCTAACCCAGTCTTGTAGCAACACTTTACACTTTGCAGGTGTGAAGCGCATGCCAAACCGTACGACAGAGCTAGTTGGGTCATTTAAAATGATTTGCATTTTTTTGAAGGATATGAACCAAGGAGAACATTATCTTCCGCATACTCAATGTCTGTCAACGAACGTCCCGGAAACATTTCGACCTCCGAAGTTTCGGAGGCGGGCAGAGAAATTTCAAGCAACACATAAATAAGAGAGTTGAAGAGGAAGGTCAGAGAAACCAGCCTTGTTTTACACCACTGGACGTGGTGAACTCAGGCGAAAGCTTACCTGAGTACGTCAAAGTTCGCAACTGGTACCCTCAGGGATATAAATCCGGAAGGGACAACTTTGATCGCAAACACTGCCAAAGTCGCTGATGATGGACGGAATCAGAGATAGCCTTCAAACCAAGAAAAACGATTAACGTGCGACGTTTGAATGAGTGGTGCTGTTCAAGACTTTGTCTCAAGGTAAAGATATCGTCGATGCATCTTCGGCCTGGTGGAACTCAGATTGATTCTCACGAAGCTCCCGATAATCCATCAACCTGTGCAAAATAATCGCAAAGAGCATATTAGATGCGACGGATACCAGGCTAATACCACGATGGTTTCCACATGACGTTCTTGCTCCTTTTTTGAAAACTTGAATGACGGTCGATGATTTCCATTCGGTGGTATTCCGTTTTCATTCTAAATCTTCTGTAGTATGGTTGTCATACTGTTCACCAGGACCTCGCCACCTTCTTTGAAGAGTGCTGGGTGCAGGGCCATCCGCACGGAATGCCTTGTCCTTCTTGAGGATTGATATTTCACTCTGGATTTCGGTTTCTGATGGTGGTTGCTATCGATGTTCCACTCAGGACCACTGGGTTCTTCCAGTGGTTGTGTTAAAGGAGACCATGTGAACTGTTCTTGGAAGTGCTCAGCCCATCGCTCCAGACGACGATTGAGGAAGTGATTTGCCGTGCATTCTTTTTCGCATGTTGTTCACGGTCACCTGCTTTCTTATGACCGCCTAATGAAATCAGCTGAAATAGGGCGCAGCCTTTCCCTGCAGCGTAAACCTTCCCCATCTCCTGGGCCTTCGAATCTCACCAGCGTTCTCCGTCATTCTTGTCCACTGAAGCAGTCGTGACGGACCTTGATAAAACCCGTCCTTCTCATTCCCAGAACTGCAGTCTGTCGGGGCTTATGCTGATGGGACTAATAGACACCGTTTATTACACCGACCTACATAGATTTTAAGTGAGCCAGGTAATCGCGCAGCACAAAGGCGTTTGTTTACTGGGATTCAGTCCAGTAAGGCTCATTCAGCCTTGGGGTTGTGTGAAATTCCAACATCTTAGGTACCAGTAATCATTGCGTCAGGCTCACCGGATATCCAAAGAATGAAATGTGAAGCTCGTCCTAAGCGGCTCGGGATACGGGACCGAAGTTGGATCTTGTATGAGTGTTTAAATGTCATGAGTGCTTTGAATGATCCAAAAGCTGGTAGGGTAGGACTTATCAATACTAGCCTTTAGCTCTCGTACCCGTTTTACGGGACTAAAGAAAGTAATGGTCAGCATTCTGGGGATTCAACGAACGTGGTACCTAACAGCTGGGCGAAAAAGAGAAACCTACAGTCACTTCTCATCAGAACTGAGGCAATGACATATGTTGACACATCAGTGGGGCAGATTTATAGATCTCAACTTTTCGTGATTTTTCGGCATAAATTTTTTATAACGCCCTCTAAAATATGTGACATATGGATGAGGAGTATCTTGCAACTATGTTTATGTTGGATTGGTCCTTTCACTGGCAGTGATCTTTTTTACCGATCCTTATACTGACCCAAATACACGCGTGGTATAAAAAGCCAGACTGCTCACTAGAAAATCAGCTCAATACAGACCAGGAAACTGATTGGAAAATGCCTTGCGGAGTAGATGAATCCTGTCAAAATGCATGTCATCCTCCTGTGTATTTTAATAGGATATTCTATACAGAAGGACATGATCATCACGTGACAACGAACAGTGTTGCTCATACAACCCTTTTCATCCTAAACTATCCTTCATCGAATGGCAGACTAGCGGTGATCATTTCACAACGAATTGAAGTAGTATCTTCGTTCTGCTTCACTGGAACTTTTCAGTAGAATCTTTATTAATTTGTCATTCCTCTTTGACCCAACAGATGCTCCATCTCGGCAAAAGATTGAGGAGGGCCGGCGTTTGTCTTCGGTACTCCAAACCCTTCTACGTGACTCAGTGGATCTGGATTCCTTGTGTATCGTGGCATGGGAACGTGTTTTCGCCATACGAGTTGAACTCCGCGCTCTTTCCTATGATGGTAACTTGGGTGATTGTGGTGCTCTGGCTGCTATTTCGGCGTTGGCTGCTTTTCGGCGACCAGATGTATTTGTGCAGGACAATGGAACCGTAAGCTTTATTACTTGTGTGCGCCAAAGTTATGATTTTCCAGATTACACCTGTCGCTGCTCTCTGAACCAAGGGATTTTCGAACCCCGAGTCTTCACGTTTCTGTACCAAGTGTGTGTTTGTCGATATCACGCATGTGATAACGCGCTCAATTCGGCGAAATGCTCCGCCGCCCCAGCAAAACTGTATTTTAGTTCAATGCGACGGTTGACGTACCTTAATAACCCACTGAGTTTCATTGGTTGATACCCATGTAGTATCCATACGCTGTTTCCTACTAGGTTGTTGTGCCAAACACAGTCTCTTTCCTCCGAACTTAGTGGTCGTTGCAATCTGTCACGTATACCAACCACTGCCGCCTTGCGGTCAGGCTTTTGATGCCAAGCCCTTGGTTAACACCCTCATCTTCCTTTCTTCCATGTGAAGCACCGCAGCACATACGTAGCACACGTAAACCAACGCTCTTTACATCACATCTGCCGTCGCTTCGTGACCAACCCGGTAACCTAAATACATCAGACGGTAATAAAAAACATGCGAATGCTAATGTATGTCTTGCTTATTCAGTATTGCTTAGTAACTTTTCGTACACTCTACTCAATAATCGCCCTTCTGCAGTTCCAAGACGTAGGGGTGTCGATTAAAAATCGATTGAAGTAACTGGTTTTAAACCACCTCACAGCTGCCTCTTCAAGTTCATTTGCTATTTGATTGTTTGCTTTACTGTTCAAACAATTGGCCAATAAACTGCTCCTGCAGTCACTCTTAGTATTATGTAGGCAAGTATCAGCTAGACCTTTGTGACCCGAAATCAAGATTCAAGTGAAGCAACGGAGCTTTCGACCTAAGACGATGTGGACTATTGACGTTGGAGTCACTGTACCAGCTGTGATTGGCCGCCATGGTGTCGGTATAGTCCTCTGAATGGCGGCGTCCCTCAATCGGTTAGATGCTCGTAAGTCACCGACTTTTTGTTGCTCGGGCATCCGTTTTTATAGGAACTCAATGTGCTTCAAATCCTAACCGTCTTTCGTTCATCCTCTCTGCTCAAGCATCAACAAAATATAGCTCTGATGCAGCAAAGGCGCTTTCTGTCGGAAACTAACCACTCCATTGTTCATCACGAAGAGTTCAAATACAGCCGTGTTACCTGAACATTTTGATGCACAAATACCTGCTTCAGCGAAACAGGGGCTCAACTTGGTAGTTCTTTAAGTTTAGACGTGAAACGCAATTTTAATGACGAGCTCTAAATTGAAGGATATCATGGATCAACATGGACTCCGCTGATTGGGATATGTTCTGAGGTGGACTCCAGAATGTTTCCTGCGGTGCGCTATCTTTGTAATCCTGGACAAAAGACCGTAAAAGCGTCACATAGACCAGGAAACGAATTGAAGGAGACATGGAGACACTCACAAAGCGATTGTCCCATGTTAGCTTATGTGAACACACACAGACTAGCTCCTGCTGTGGTCTTACTTTTTTTTTACCGCTTTAATTCTTTTTATCGCTTTATTTTCGCACCTTCATTTTTCTAGTTCTCAGATTCCCAGTAGGCTTCCTCGCCATGCATCGTGGTTTTTGGGAGCTTTGTGTTCAGTATATATATATA